AGGTAACCAGCGACATGAGAGAGGTAAAAAACGACATGAGAGAGGTAAACAGCAACGTGAGAGAGTTTAACTGCAAGATGAGAGAGGTAAACTGCGACATGGAAGAAGTAAACATCGACGTGAAAGAGGTATGCAGCGTCATGAGAAACGTAACCAGCGACATGTGAGAGGTAAGCAGCGACATGAGAGAGGTAACCAGCAACATGTAAAAGGTAACCAGCGACATGAGAGAGGTGAACAGCAACATGAGAGAGGTAACTAGCGACAAAAGAGAGGTAACCAGCGACATGAGAGAGGTAACCAGCGACATGAGAGAGGTAAGCAACGACATGAGAAAGGCAACCAGCGAAATTAGAGAGGTAACCAAGTCTGCCAAAGCGAAGGAAACAGATTGGTGGGGGGACAAAGGATTGGGTGAAGGTGAAAGAATGGGTAAATCCAACCATCTACCCTGCACGTACCAGAATGGCAACGAGAAAGCTGCTGAGCTCTACAAGTGGAGGAGCCACAACTGAGCAGCAGGAACAGGCTCAAGGCGAAGATGCAGTGCTGTTCTTGGGTGATGACCAAGAGTCAGATGACGAGGAGCCTGCATACTGCTTTTACGCACCAATACAACCTCCGAGCATGGATCATGCGCTAGCCGGGCCTCAACGGGGGAAGTGGCTCGTTTCAAGAGATGCAGAGTACAACAGCCAGATGGAGAATCACACATGGGACCTGGTGTACTTGCCAAATGGGAAGAAGGCAATACAGTGCAAGTGGCTGGCAAAAATCAAGACGGATGAGAAAGGAGAGCCATCAGTTTACAAGAGCAGGCTGGTGGCAAAGGGGTTTCAGCAGAAAGAGAAAGAAGATTACAAAGAAGTGTTTGCCCCAACTGCTAAGTCTCCAACGCTACGTGTGCTGCTGGCGGTAGCTGCTGTGCGCAAATGGAAGGTGAAGCAGATGGACATCGTAACCGCTTTTCTGTACGGCATTGTGGAAGAGGTGTACATGGTTCAACCACCTGGCTATGAGGATGGAACCGGTCGTGTCTGCAAACTTAACAAGGCCATCTATGGCTTGAAGCAGGCCCCGAGATGCTGGTACAACAGGCTGGCCAGTGCACTGGAAGGGATTGGATTCCGTGCGAGTGCATGCGACGAGAGCCTATTCCTGATGGGCGAGGGGGAGTCGCTTGTGCTTCTGCTGGTGTACGTGGATGACATCCTGCTCTTCAGCAGCAGTGACAAGGAGATCGATGGGGTGCAGCGGAAGCTCACAGAGCAGTTCAAGTGCAAGTCACTTGGAGAGGCAAGGTACTACCTGGGAATGCACATAGAGCGGGATACTGAACGTGGCTGGCTCAAGCTGCATCAGGGACAGTACATCAACACCTTGGCTGAGAAGTACTCTCTGCAGGAAGAACGGGAAGTGGTTACACCTTTGCCTTCCGAGTTCAAACTCATAAAGGCAGCTGAAGGAGAAGGAGTTGAAAGTGAAGACCAGAGGCAATTCCAATCCATGGTCGGGAGCCTACTCTACGCTGCTGTGCATACTCGGCCTGACATCAGCTTTGCTGTGGGACAGCTGGCTCGAGTAGTGCAAAATCCAACAGAAGAGCAGTGTGGTGCAGCGGAGAGAGTGATGCGCTACCTCAAGTCATACCCTACAGTGGGAGTACAGTATTCAGCCTCTGCTCAACTCAGGCAAAAAGGAGTTGAAGTCCTTCAAGAGAAGGGGGAGCAGCTCGGAGAAGGAAAGGTGTTCCTTTCCTGTTTTGCTGATGCCACGTGGGCTTCTGAGCATGAGGATTCATCATCAGTTGGTGGATACATCTGCATGGTGGGAGGTGGGCCTGTAAGTTGGAGGTCCAAGAAGCAGTCTGAAACGGCACTATCGTCAGTGGAATCTGAGTACATGGCGATGTTTCATGCAGCAAAAGAAATCATTTGGCTAAGGAGGCTCTTGAAGGAGATCGGCCATGAACAGACTTGTGCGACACCTCTGTTCAGTGACAGCAAGGGAGCCATTGCCATGGCACGCAATGCAGTTCTTCATGGGTTGAACAAGCACATGAGGATCAAGTGGCATTGGCTGCGGAAGGAGGTGAAGCTTGGGACACTGGATCCGATCTACGTGAAAACTCAGCAACAGCCAGCCGACTTCCTTACCAAGCGGCTAGCTGAAGAGCCACACTGGCGCTGTGCGAGAATGGCGGGAATGTCCATGAACTAGAGATGGCGAAACAAGCCGACAGTCTGAGGGGGAGTGTGTTGGTGCATATTCGTTTGCACGTCATCCTGTCGTCTGTTCGCATCATTTCGTTGCATGTGTTTTGTGTGCTACATTGTTTGTATGGTTTGTTGGGTTTGCATGTCTTTGCATGTTCGTCTTGTGCTTGTGCAGATGTGCTTGGTTTGTGCATGACATCGAGCACATTCCAACGAGCCAAGAATTGTTGGAATCGGAGCACATATGAAGAAGTTACGAAGAAATGTTTGATGGATTTGTTACAACTCATTGGAAGTCCTTGTCAGCTGCTACACCAAAGTTGGAGAGCCCTATAACGAGGAGGGACCAGCATGTGTGGGACTTTTGTCCCCACCCTGCAGCTGCAGCATTTGGGGTTTGGAGGCCAACCTAGTACAGTGTGAATTTTGTCTTGCCAGGCTGGCTGAACCTGAGGATGGGGAGTCAAGACTTTGACTCTTGTCATGTTCTTGACCATGGGCCTCCAGGGTCCTTCCCTTTCATCCTTCCCCTCCATCCCTACCTTCCAACTGTGCTTCAATGCCCTTTCCATCATGCCTCTGAACTTGTAAGCTTCAATCATTGTGACTCTGAGGATTGTCAACTTCTCCTAGAGCAGATTACCCCCCAGTGCGCCAAACGCCATAGCTCGCTCGTTAAGCTACGGAATCGAGTGATTCAACTTTCATTGGAAAGCTGACGCTGCAAGCTACAACATATCTGATGTTCAGATCGTTTCACCGGTTGGAGTTTTGGATATAGCTTTTCGAAGGTCGCGAGTTTTCTGGGCGTCATAACGAAGTGCTGCAGAAATTTCCAAGGAGCCATTGAATCATCTGCTTATAGCCTTCTGTAACCAACAAAACAGCCACATGATATAGGTAAACAGCGATATGAGAGAGGAAATGAGCGACATGAGAGTGGTAACCAGCGACATGAGAGAGGTAAACAACGACATGAGAGAGGTAAACATCGACGTGAGAGAGGCAAACAACGACATGAGAGAGGTAACCAGCAACATGTGAGAGGTAACCAGCGACCTGAGAGAGGTAAACAGCGACATGATAGAGGTTAGCAGCAACATGAGAGAGGTAACCATGGACATAAGAGAGGTAACCAGGGACATGAGAGAGGTAAACAGCGACATGAGAGAGGAAACAGCGACATAAGGGCGGTAAACAGCGACATGATATAGGTAAACAGCAACATGAGAGAGGTAACCAGCGAGATAAGAGAGGTAACCAGCGACATCAGAGAGGAAACCAGCGACATGAGAGAGGTAAGCAACGACATGAGAGAGGCAACCAGCAACATGAGAGAGGTAACCAGCGACATGAGAGAGGTAAAAAACGACATGAGAGAGGTAAACAGCAACGTGAGAGAGTTTAACTGCAAGATGAGAGAGGTAAACTGCGACATGGAAGAAGTAAACATCGACGTGAAAGAGGTATGCAGCGTCATGAGAAACGTAACCAGCGACATGTGAGAGGTAAGCAGCGACATGAGAGAGGTAACCAGCAACATGTAAAAGGTAACCAGCGACATGAGAGAGGTGAACAGCAACATGAGAGAGGTAACTAGCGACAAAAGAGAGGTAACCAGCGACATGAGAGAGGTAACCAGCGACATGAGAGAGGTAAGCAACGACATGAGAAAGGCAACCAGCGAAATTAGAGAGGTAACCAGCAACATGAGAGAGGTAACCAGGGAAATGAGAGAGGTAACCAGCGACAGGAGAGAGGTAACCAGCTACATGAGAGAGGTAACCAGCGACATGAGAGAGGTAACCAGCGACATGAGAGAGGTAACCAGCTACATGAGAGAGGTTGCAAGCGACATGAGAGAGGTAACCAGCGACATGAACGAAGTTATTTGCGACATAAGAGAGGTAACCAGCGACATAAGAGAGGTAAACAGCGACATGAGAGAGGTAACAGCAACATGAGAGAGGTAACCAGCGACATAAGAGAGGTAACCAGCAATATGAGGTAACCAGCAATATAAGAGATCTAAGCAACGACATGAGAGAGGCAATCAGCGACATAAGAGAGGTAACCAGCGACATGAGAGAGGTAAACAACGACATGCGAGAGGTAAACACCAACGTGAGAGGGGTAAACTGCGACATGAGAAAGGTAAACTGCGACATGAGAGATGGAAACATCAAAATAAGAGGTAACCAGCTTCATAAGAGAGGAAACCAGCGACATGGGAGAGGTATACAGCGACATGAGGGAGGTAATCAGCGACATGAGAGAGGTAAGCAGCGACATGAGAGAGGTAAGCAGCGAGATGAGACAGGTAAACAGCCACATAAGAGAGGTGAAGAGTGACATGATAGAGGTTAACAGCGACATGAGAGAGGTAAACAGCGACATAATAGAGGTAACCAGCAACGTGAGACAGGTAACCAGCGACATGAGAGATGTAAGCAACGACATGAAAGAGGCAACCAGCGATATGAGAGAGGTAACCAGCGACATGAGAGAGGTAAACAACCACATGCAAGAGGTAAACAGCAATGTTAGAGAGGTAAGCTGCGACATGAGAGAAGTAAACAGCGACATGAAAGAGGTAACTAGCGTCATGAGAGAGGTATCCAGCAACATGAGAGAGGTAACCAGCGACATGAGAGAGGTAAACAGCGACATGAGAGAGGTAACAGCAACATGAGAGAGGTAACCAGCGACATAAGAGAGGTAACCAGGGACATGAGGTAACCAGCAACATAAGAGAGCTAAGCAACGACATGAGAGAGGCAATCAGCGACATAAGAGAGGTAACCAGCGACATGAGAGAGGTAAACAACGACATGCGAGAGGTAAACACCAACGTGAGAGGGGTAAACTGCGACATGAGAAAGGTAAACTGCGACATGAGAGATGGAAACATCAAAATAAAAGGTAACCAGCGTCATAAGAGAGGAAACCAGCGACATGGGAGAGGTATACAGCGACATGAGAGAGGTAATCAGCGACATGAGAGAGGTAAGCAGCGACATGAGAGAGGTAAGCAGCGACATGAGACAGGTAAACAGCCACATAAGAGAGGTGAAGAGTGACATGATAGAGGTTAACAGCGACATGAGAGAGGTAAACAGCGACATAATAGAGGTAACCAGCAACGTGAGACAGGTAACCAGCGACATGAGAGATGTAAGCAACGACATGAAAGAGGCAACCAGCGATATGAGAGAGGTAACCAGCGACATGAGAGAGGTAAACAACCACATGCAAGAGGTAAACAGCAATGTTAGAGAGGTAAGCTGCGACATGAGAGAAGTAAACAGCGACATGAAAGAGGTAACTAGCGTCATGAGAGAGGTATCCAGCAACATGAGAGAGGTAACCAGCGACATGAGAGAGTTAACCAGCGACATGAAAGAAGAAATTAGCGGCATGAGAGAGGTAACCAGCGACATGAGAGAGGTAAACAGCAACCTGAGAGCAGTAACGATCGACGTAAGAGAGGTAAACAACGACATGAGAGGTAACCAGCAACATGTAAGAGGTAACCAGCGACATGAGAGAGGAAACAGCGACATTAGAGGGGCAAACTGCAATATGATAGAGGTAAACAACGACATGAGAGAGGTAACCAGCGACATGAGAGAGGTAAACAACGACATCAGAGAGGTAAACAGCGACGTGAGAGAGTCAAACAAAGATATGAGAGAGGTATGCAGTGTCATGAGAGAGGTAACCAGCGACATGTGAGAGGTAAGCACCGACATAAGAGAGGTAACCAGCAACATGTGAGAGGTAACCAGTGACATGAGAGAGGTAAACAGCAACATGTGAGAGGTAAACAACGACATGAGAGAGGTAGCCAGCAACATGAGAGAGGTAACATGTGACATGAAAGAGGTAAACAGCAACATGAGAGCAGTAACGAGCGACGTAAACAACGACATCAGAGGTATCCAGCAACATGTAAGAGGTAACCAGCGACATGAGAGAGGAAACTGCGACATGAAAAAGGTAAATAGTAACATGATAGAGGTTAACAGCGACATGGGAAAGGTAACCAGGGACAGAAGAGAGGTAAACCGCAACATCAGAGAGGAAACAGCGACATTAGAGATGTAAACAGTGACATGATAGAGGTAAATAGCGACATGAGAGAGGTAACCAGCGACAAAAAAGATAGGTAACCGGCGACAAAAAAGAAAGGTAACCAGCAACATGACAGAAGTAACCAGCGAAATGAGAGAGGTAACCAGCGATATGAGAGAGGTAACCAGGGACATGAGAGAGGAAACAGCGACATTAGAGAGGTAAACAACAACATGATAGAGGTAAACAGCAACATGAGAGAGGTAACCAGCGAAATTAGAGAGGTAAACAACGACATCAGAGAGGTAAACAGCGACGTGAGAGAGTCAAACAAAGATATGAGAGAGGTAACCAGCAACATGTGACAGGTAACCAGCGACCTGAGAGAGGTAAACAGTGACATGAGAGAGGTTAACAGCGACATGAAAGAGGTAACCAGGGACATAAGAGAGGTAAACAGCGACATGAGAGAGGAAACAGCGACATTAGAGAGTTAGACAGCTACATGATAGAGGTAAACAGTGATATGAGAGAGGTATCCAGCGAGATGAGAAGGGTAAGCAGCGACATGAGTGAGGTAACCAGCAACATGTCAGAGATAAGCAGCGACATCAGAGATGTAACCAGCAACATGTGAGAGGTAACCAGCGACATGAGAGTGGTAAACCGCGACATGAGAGAGGAAACAGCAACATGATAGAGGTAAGCAGCGACATGATTAAGGTAAACAGCGACATGAGAGAGGTATCCAGCGACATGAGAGAGGTAACCAGCGACAAAAAAGAGCGGTAACCAGCGAAATGGGAGAGGTAACCAGCGATATGAGAGAGGTAACCAGCAACGTGAGAGAGGTAAACTGCGACATGAGATGTAAATTGCGACATGAAAGAGGTAAACTGCGACTTGAGAGAAGTGAACATCGACATGAAAGAGGCATGCAGTGTCATAAGAGAGGCAACCAGCGACATGTGAGAGGTAAGCAGCGACATGAGAGAGGTAACC